CTTAAAGTGGGAAACCTCCACATGTGTAAAACGACTAAACCCTGAAACTAACCTTATCAATTTATTCTGAGATTTTTGTAATTTATCCAACCAACCACAAGACAAATCGGACATCCAAGAAATACAAGCATATTCAAAATTACATTACACTAAACATGATGCAAGTAATTTTATATTCTGTTTATCAAGGAAACTAACATGTCTGGCAAGAAATTTTGTCCTAGCATTAACCTTACCCAGAACCTTCATAGCCATACTTACACCACTTAAATCATTGTCAAGGACACATCCAAGATAATTAACAGAAGTTCTATTTGATATTAAACAATCCCCGACCTTAACAGACATCTTAGAAACCTTATTCAAATTATTAATTATTTACAAAGGGTTATGCCCTTTGTGTTTGGTTTACCTGGGTCCACGATGTTCATCCAGGTGAATGTGGCAATGAGGGTTGACTGGTTCTGGCCGGATACGAATGGTGATCACATCAAACGGAACCTCGGCTCGATATTCCTTCTCCCATGCATTAAACGCTGGCATCAGCACCATCGGAGGGTCTGTGTACAACTGCCTCAGGTGGGGATCAACACACCTCCCTTGAAAATAGGAGTAAGGCACATTTAATAGTTGATTAGTATTTTCATATTAAGTAAAAACAGTTGGTGTTTTATAAAAACAAATCAAATGTGTATTTGTAATTCACATAGTTAGGCTAATATGTTACCACATGCTACTTGCCTTTTCTTGACGGCGGGTCTGAAGCCTCTGGGCTCTTTGGGTCATCCAAGCTGTTGGAATTATAGAAAACACAGTAATTTTTAGTAGGAAACTCAGCAAGTGCTCTATAATGGTCTGTTAAACGCAGGTGATTGAAAGCATGGGACGTTAGTAGATTTTTTTCCAGGAATAGCAAAAGCGAGCCTTTTATGGCTTTCCCTCCTCTTTTTAACATATAAAAACAATCAGTGCTGGCTTGAAAAAGCATCTTAATTTGTTTGAAAGACAATCAATCAATGAAGTAACATGCTCAAAGACCGTTATATCATCATGGAACAGAGTTGTGTCCCGGTTTGGATTCCCATCCAGCCAGACAGATGCAGACAATTTACTTCCCACCATCCAGCACACAAACCCAATCATCACAGATAACATCAATATGGCTCAAGGTTTTTTTTGTATGGATTTGTACTTGCCTTGTCTACATTTATACTGGCTCCACAAAACAAAACGAAATAAAGTTGCTAAAATGTGGCAAAAAATATATTTATATTTTTATTTAACATGAAGTGGCCTTTAGAAGAGGTAAAAGTATTTTTAAACGCAAGAATATCTTAAATTATGTTATGTCTATACTTTTGCAGGGAAATACAAATGTTTATTTGACTGTAAATAGTTCCAAATGTATTACTATTGGACAGATAGTGTGTAAGAGTGAGAAAATTAAAAACAAAACAAAATAAATATATAAAAGTAAGACATCAGGAGGTTTGGGAGTTATTGTGGGTGGGGGGTAAAATCTGTAAAAATAAATGTTTTGACTGAACTGCAGGTGACCCAAAGCACCACAGGCTTAAATCAACAGGTCACCATTAAGAATGACTGAATATAAAATAATGATTTGTATGATATTATCTCCAGAACCCTTGCAGGATTTTTGCACGCCTGCAGCATAACTCATTTCATCGCTGGAGAAAGAATAAGGTTTGATGATATGATCTGGGGAATCTGCAAATATGTCGAGTTGTGTAAGTATAGGCTTGTATGTGTGTGTGTAACCTTTCAGTCTGATGTTTTCTCGTGTAGTAAAGGCTGAGCTCTTGGAGCAGGGCCATGAGAGCTGGTCTCCATCCATAATCCTGTGCGCTGAGGGACTCTGTCTGGATTAGATCATGCTGAGGATCGTCAGGAAGAGGACATGTAGGGTAGAGCTGCCAACACACACACACACACACTCGATTTATTTAACAGACAAAAAAGCACAACAAGGACATACAGGTTTATCATGTGATAATTTTACATGGAATTAGCCTTTAAACAAGTCTGATTTAATGTTACATTAAATCCAATTCAATTACACTTGTGCCTGTTAGTCCATATTAATAAGCTTTGAAGTCATCAATATGCTATAGCTAATACGAGTATCTTTCAAAGTGCATAAAATGTGTCTTTACCAGCTGAAAGGGTCCTGGTCTCTTGAGGTGCTGATTAAACTGTTGCAATAAATGCATCTCATCCGGAGGCAGACACAGAGTGTTTGGCCCTTCACAGTCACCGTACTGCATGACAAGTTCAAAGAATTAGACCACAACAATGAACACTATTGATATACTTGAAAAAACGACTGCATTTTACAAAGCAACAAAAATGAAAAAGGAACAAAATAAATACAAATTGACTTTGTAAAGCATGGGAAATGATAAAACCATTTAAAAAAAATAATATTTTTTTGTTGACTGAAATGAATTGTCTATATTTTCACTGGCTCCACAAACAAATAAATAAAAAAAAATATTTAAATGTAAAAAAATAAATATATATTTATATTTTAATTTTAACATCAAGTTTTCTTTAGGAAAAATTAACATTTAGAAATGCAAGAATATCTGAAATTATGCTATTCTGACATTTCGTTTAGCAGGAAAATGCAAATGTTTATTTGACAGCAATCCATTTGATTGTAAATCAAAATGTATTATTATCATTATTTTATTATTATTATTAATTATTATTAATAATAATAATAATAATGACTAAAAGAGAATAATCACCCGGTAGGTCTTTTTTTTTCAGGTTTCTTAATGGAGACAAATATTGTATGAGAGGAGTGAAAGAAACATGCATGGATTTATGAAATTTGTTCTGCTCATGTTTCATGAAATCTGCTCATGTTTTCTATTGAAATAGAAATGAAATGAAATTACAGCAGTCACATCAGTGTCCTAAAAAAAGCTGTTTTATTTTACATGGTGCAAACATGTTTAGATCAGACTAGCCGAAAACAAACTTCATCTCATTAAAACTTGTCCTTTGACATTTCTCCATATTTATACAATAGCTTCAGTAACAGAAACATTTTTGCATGTGCCCTTTCAAGAAAATAATACTTCCATTACATCCTTTAAAAAAATAATAACAGTAATAATTAATGAAAAATTGTGTTAATTAGTTCACTTGCATATGGTAATACCAGGAAAAACTGAAGCGAGTTTTACCTTTTGGTTCTCTTCCTTTGTTCTAAATGGCAAACTAGGCTCCACAGCCTCGCTGCTGCATGCTGGGAAAAGCAGTTTCAGCACATCCTCCAGCATATACTCTTTGGCTATCTGTCCGTCAAAGTGAGGGTCCTTCATTCCCTCAAAGTGTAGATCAGTCTGAAGCTGAGACAGAAAGAGAGCAGACAAATAATAAATGTGAATGTGTATTAATATGCTGCCATCTAGTGGTCAAATTGAGAGCTTGCATGGGAGATCATCTACTGTACAGTTGTGTGTAATTTTTCAGCATCTATCCTCATCAAACAAAACTCAAAGTGGGTGTTTATCCTTACCTTCACCACTACCGGATGAAGAGAAGAGTTATAGTGCAATGAGAAGGTCATTAACTGAAAACACAGCTGGCACCTATAAGAAACAACACAGAAAAACTCAATTTGACAAATTCACTGATGAAAACACATGCATACCATATAATTACAATTCGCCCCAAAATTAATAATAATAATAATAATAATAATGGCTTTAAAAAAAAAAAAAAAAAAAAAAATTTAATTATGTAATTATGTACACTCTTTAAAAATGAACTTTCTTTTTTCCTTTTAAAAATGTGGACATTTTCTGGTTGAATTGTGTGTTTTTGACCTGGACAATGAGCTGCTGTCCTTTGTGGTTAATAAAGCAGCTTTCAGGATGTCACTGATGACGTGATTCATGTGTTCAATGGCCTTATGAGAGAGAACAGGACCCAGTCTTTCTCTAAAGAATACCTGCAACTGAAAGAGAGGAGTCTAAATCAGTCTGACGCAGTACATAAACTAAAAGCTGAGAGGCAAACAGAGATCTAATTACTTCATCATTCAGCCTCTCTAAACAGATTGAGCAGAACACTGCAATTTCAACACCAGAAATACTGTTCATCAATACTGATTTAACAATGGCAGACATTCATACCTCTACAGCTGCAGATACAGCAACTAAGACAAAAACTCTCCCGCATGGACAAGAGATTTATCCTTTTTAACTCGATAACCACACAAACCATACTGAGACTTGTTGACAGTTAAAGGGTCATTTAAAACTTCATTTTCAAATGTTAATTTCTGGGTGAAACACTTATATAGCTATAACGCAATTATTTTGAAGTCAAAAACGGTCAATTTACCAATTCAGCTTATGTAATTTAATAATTTTGCATAGTGTGTGTGGTCTATGTAGCTAATAGCAACTTTAATACATCTCAGTGTTTGATTTCAAGAATTTTTGTGATTACTAAAAATATTAGTATGTATTTTATTAACTTTATGAGCGATTTGCACACATACTAGTATCAGCACATTAAGTCGTGACAGAGAAACCTTTCCAAGCGTGATGAAAGAGCGCAGCCATTAGAGGGCAGTAGAAGAACAATAGTCTATTACTACAGTAAATTGATAAAACCTCAATTGATTTGTATATATGGTTCAAAAACAAAAAATGGTTTTTCAAACACCATCAATCAAAAATGAATGCAGCTTTATTTTTCATACATTAGAATGTGCCCTGTTTTATTTTTATCTGAGCAAAAAAGAATGACTAACATATATTTTTACCATGATTTACAGAAAAAATATCATTCAGTGTAACAGTACATGTTAATAATTTTGCATAGTGTGTGTGGCCTATGTAGCTAATAGCAACTTTAATACATCTCAGTGTTTGATTTCAAGAATGTTTGTGATTACTAAAAATATTAGTATGTATTTTATTAACTTTATGAGCGATTTGCACACATACTAGTATCAGCACATTAAGTCGTGACAGAGAAACCTTTCCAAGCGTGATGAAAGAGCGCAGCCATTAGAGGGCAGTAGAAGAACAATAGTCTATTACTACAGTAAATTGATAAAACCTCAATTGATTTGTATATATGGTTCAAAAACAAAAAATGGTTTTTCAAACACCATCAATCAAAAATGAATGCAGCTTTATTTTTCATACATTAGAATGTGCCCTGTTTTATTTTTATCTGAGCAAAAAAGAATGACTAACATATATTTTTACCATGATTTACAGAAAAAATATCATTCAGTGTAACAGTAGTTTGTACCCAAAAATCTTGTCAAGAATATTTAGAACAAAAATCATTAGATGACATTAAAATACTATTTAAGAATCACAGTGCTGCCCTAAAATACTAATTCATTGTCATTTTAAATATTTTCCCTTCTTTGCCTAGGTTTTACCTACTAGTCAGCAAGAAGTTATTAATCATTTAAAATATAATAAAATTCAGTATTATCACTTATTCTTTTATATATTTTAGTAAGTGCAGGTCAGAATGAGTACGTTGTTTCATTTGTACATATATGCATTCTGTGTATATAAAATCACTTTTGTGAATTTAATTTGATGTGTTCACCAAAACGGGATGTCTTATCTTTGACCCATATATAGATTTAGTTGTATTATACAGCTTTATTATTTTTTTTACTTCTAATGAGGATGTCACCAAAGGGAAGTTTTGTCACAAGGACACACACTGTTGCACACAAGTGGTCCAACACTAAGTTTTGCATAAGATTTTGCTCTATATCATACTCGCACACCAAGAACCAGAGGGGAATGAGCAGACTTTTATGAAGACTTTATTGTGATCTGCTTGTTTGTCAGGGCTCTTTTATCAACTCTTGAAACTCAGTAAACATGATCTGGGTTTTATTAGATCTCAGTGTGCCCTCCAGCTGTTTACAAGACTCTGACTGAAGCCTCTTCAGTAATCTGGCATTACACACACACAAACACACACACACACACACAGAGAGAGAGCGGTGTTTCGCAGCTGTGGAGGCCTAATAAACATCACATGGGGAATCAATGCCTAGCCAAGCCTTTATCATCAGTAAACGGCAGCACAGGGATCCAAACTGCAATATTAAGACTGAAATCTGATCTGATTTAAAAATAGAAAAGCTTATTGAAATAGCTAAAAGGCACCTAATAATCATTTCTAAGCTCATTTGAGTATTGAGACGCAGATATTGTTTTATTTTAACTGTAATCGTTTTACAGCTTTCACTTCAAGGAGAATGCTTTCTTACCTCGGCGGCATAACTAGTTTTATCCAAGTGGGGTTTGACCAAGGCTGTGCGGTGGACAAAAGCGGTCAGCGGTGTTGCCGAAGTAACCAAGACGTATACGTTTATGGTGGCATTCATGCTCTGAATGTCCGAATAGCTGAGTGTGATTGGCCACCTCCTGTAGGATACAATCACAATAACGCTGAAGAGAAAATTGACATTGTAACATTTTTGGTTGGCCATTTCCTTCAGATGTGACATGACTTACCATTCATCTTCAGCAGCATTTGGGGTTCCCTCTTGTGGAGATGGGGAAAAAGAGCAGGCGGAAGGGCGTATTGGTAATGTCACTCCTGAGATAGAAAACAGACAGGAGAAAGTGGATAGAGGCTGAGTTCTGGCACACTGATTTCCTCTGTGAGGAAGACACACAGCACATGTATCGACATGATGGCCAAAGCTACTTCAATTCTTTCCACAAAGACCTCCAGACATGTGTCTAGAGATACCACGTTATTAAATCATTGGGTCTGGCCACATTTCTCACATGCAGGCTTTGCTTCTGTGATACGTAAACTGCAGCTCTGTTCTAAAACATAGTGAGCTGCCTTACTCCTAACTGTCTACATAGGTAACAGCCATGTAAACTCATAAGTCTACATAGGCAATAACTCTGCAACACAAATGTGAAGCACACAAGAGACTCTAATCACACACAAATATTAGGTCAAAAAAGTTGGGTTATTCATAATTGACAATTTTCTTGATTGGTCTGCCATGTTGGAATGACTTTCATTCTGGCACTACATTTCACCATCAAGTTGTGCAGTTCTGCCTCAGAATTTGATTAAAACAAGGTTGATTTTTAAATGTTTTTGAAAAAAAAAAGTATCTCATGCTCCCCAAGGCTGCATTTATTTGATCAAAATATGGTGAAAAGGATATTGTGAAAGATTATTACAATTTAAATACCCGTTTTCTTTTTTAATATATTTTAAAATATAATTTAATTCTGTGATGGCAAAGCTGAATTTAAAGTAAAAAAATGATGGGTCACATGACATTTTGTCATTCACTGGGTTTGTATTTCTGTGGCATTGCACAAGGTAGCTACCATGGCTAGACCCAGATCACTATTTGTGATTAGGATCACCTGATTGCAATTATAACTTAATTCAAGACGAACAGAAGTCAATGGCTGTGTCCGAAATCGCCCCCATACCCTTAAATAGGGAACTATTTGAGGGAACTGCCATTTTTAGTGGTGTCCGAAACCATAGTGGATGTTCTCGAGTGCACTCACTCAATCCCACAATGCACTGCAAAAACGAGAGTACAACTGGTGCACGCTCAACGGCTAGAGAATACTCATAATGCACTGTGAGAGTCACGCGCCAAAATAATCAATCCATTCATTTTTACAAAGTGCTCATCCATGGCGTACAGCATAATGTACAACACGGGTATAAATTCAATGTAAATTGATTATTAAATTGTTTGATTAGGGTTTATACATAATTTCCGTGACAGAGTTCAAGACAAATCCTTTAATCTTACTACTGGAGCTGCTAGTTTGCTAGTTTCAAATGATTAATAAACAGCAAGCACCAACTATGCAAAAGCGGCAGTCCTTCTGGTGCACTCTGTGTCCGAATTCACTCACTCGTTTTCATTCACTCCTTCTAGTGAACTGAATTAGTGACCTAATGTAGGGAACAGTGAATGAGGGTATAGGGGGCGATTTCGGACACAGCCAATGTGTGTGTTTACTAGTCCTCATATCAGCACATGCACAGCTCAGGATTTCTGAGTGAGTGGTTTTCTGGCAGTACTGTGCGAATGAAAATTCTTTCAGTGATTCCAGTCACCATTTAATCAGAAACACACACACATCTCTCCAGCCTCAGAGAAAGGATGTCACCACACCATACAACTCAAGCAATACTTAATACTCTCAAACATGTCTATAGTACACATCTCCAAACCTTGTTCAGTTAAACCACATGCCACACCAGCATTGGGCCCCATTTCAAACCCCAATGAAACACTTGGAAAAACATCAAGATCTCCGTAACCCGCGCTTCTGCCAAAGTCCCGGTCACTGACTCCCTACCCAAGTGTGTGAGCTATGCAGAGTTTACATTCAAATTGGTCACTGACCCATCCATGTTATGTGTATATTTGTGCACTCTACAGTACGCTTGCCTTCAGATACCATTATAAAGAGGACACAACCTGGCCTAGCCAAACCCCAAACACCAGGACGCAATCGTTCGTGTTTCTGTGGGCGTCGGGCCAACAGGAAGGACAATATTGTTTCAGAGTCGGAGACAAAGCCTCCTTTTCTGAAGCTGGGCGGTCTTGAGGGGCAGCGGGTGAAAAATCGGTCATTATTGTTACATAAAGTAGGCACTGTTATCCTCCTCCTCTTGAGGTCTTTCAGAAGTGATGATCATAATTGGTTCAAAGCAGTAAAATTAAGCGTGATCAAGTTCAAAGAGCTTTGTAATGCAGCGTTCTGACATATAAGAAAAAAGCAACTTTCTGAAGAAGCAATAACTCACTATGGCTGTTATTATATGGCATTTATGATGTGCACTTGCCTTTTAATATCCCTGCAGCAGAGAGTTACTCACGATAAATATCACCCTTGACACTGACCTTTATAAGTAATTACAGAGACAAGCTTAAAACGCTCCAGTACACACCTGACAGAAGCGCGTCACAGACACACACTGCATTGTAGGAGACGTCAGGTAAATTGAGACTGGACTTTATTTAACGATGCTTTATTACAAAGGATTCTCACAAAAGGAATTTTTAAGAAATGTTTTTGTTAATCTAATGAAATCCAGTGGAGTCCAAAGCGGTTGTTTTGGATCTAGTGCTGTTACTGTTAACTAAAACTAAAACTATTAAAAATCATTTTTGGTAATTGAAATAAAGAAAACTGAGAAGATAAAAATAAAAGCTAATTCAAAATACTAATATAAATAATACTACAGTAACACTGTTTGGACCCCACTGACTTTCATTATAAAGACAAAAACAGTTAAAAAATATCTTCCTTTGTGTTCCACAGATGAAAGAAATTCATACAAGTTTGGAACCACATGAAGGCGAATAAATGATGACAGAAACTTCTATTTTATGAGAAATATCCCATCCAATTTTTTGCACAAAAGTAAATTTCTTGCAATATACTTGAAATGTAGTGCACATTCTATGGGCTATTGTGATTTTATGAAGCTTTTTCATTGTACAGAAAAGAGCAGCGTGAACATTCTGTAAAACATCTCCTTTTGTATTCCACGGAACAAAGTCATTCAAAACTGAAATGAAAAAAAATGTTGTGGCTGTAAAAATACATTACTGTCTCAGTATCTGTGTTAAAGAAATGCTTAGAACATTGCTGCTCACCTGACAACTGGCTGTCCGTCAGAAACCGGCAGACTCCGCCCAAGTCCAGAAACACTCCTGCAAAGGCTGGTATTATGTTAACCTGTGTGGAGATTTGGAGATCAGAGGTCAGAGTTTAACCAAGACCACCATAACGGATAGTTTAAAAACATTTAAAACAGTTAGCCTTCGGTAATGCCTTAAGATCCCGTGAGATGACAAACAGCTTATGAACGAGAGTGATTTAATAACTGAGACAGTAAGTAGCAGTTGTTCTTGGATCACGCCCAGAACTATAACTGGCCCAGGAGACTCACAACAGCTGGGATATTTAAGCAAATCTCATCATTATATGAGCATTACTAAATATAGGTTTCACATGAATTGTAAGTAAAATACAAGAATGGTTCAGGCTCTTATAGACAGGTTTTCTGCATTTAGAGCGTGAGATCAGAGGGGTTGAGGATGCTGAAATGTTTTATTGCGTCCTGGTTTCTATAAACATTCACTTTGAATCTCTGGAACAGATCTTATTTCACATGCATTTCAAACAAAAAGCATTTGGCATTAGCGCTTAGCGTTTGTTTGCTTTACCTTCTCAGTGTCATATCTATAATACACCATATTTTTAAAATTATTATGCATTACATTGCATCATAAACTGGAATCTCTTCAAGAGCGCTGGATATAGGCTATAGGGAGTGGGTGGTCTTACCCTTTGGCGGTGCTGTGGATGGGCTAAGTTGATTTTTCGCAGGCAACTATTTTCAGAGCCCTTTAGGCATATTAAGACAGACCAGTCTCTTCCATCTGTGTTCAAGGGAGAATATATTTAGGAAGAGATGAAGTAAATCAAATAAAGCAAGAAAAAAAGGATGGCAAGATCAGTGTTGACTACATGTTGATGACAGTTTGCCAAAAACAGAGGATTAAGGCAGTTACGCGCACACACACACACACACACACACACACACACACTTTCTGCTGTCTAAATGAGGACATAGACTTCTACTTTTTTTTTTTTTTATAAATTCATTATAATTACAACTACAGACAAATACAAACCCTATCCATATACAACTGTTTCATAATTTAAAGGGGTCATATGATACTGCTAAAAATAACATTATTTTGTGTATTTGGTGTAATGAAATGTGTTTATTAAAAAATCACATTATTTTCCACATACTGTACATTATTGTTTCTCCTCTATGCCCCGCCTTTCTGAAACGTGTCGATTTTTACAAAGCTCATCGTTCTAAAAAAGCGAGGACGAATCTGAGGCACAGACAATTTTCCTTTCGCTAACCTTCATCTATACTTGACATTCTTTTAACTTTTTAATTTCTTTTATGCAGCTTTGAATTAAAGGAGGGGCATTCATGGCTTTGACAAGACATCAAAGACACATCAAAGACCCCTACACAACCTCACTGCATGCAAACACATATGATTTATGAGTGTCGTTTTAATTCATCAAATTCCAGACCAGAGGTTCGGAGGCCCAACTAGCCATCTAGAAGTCACAATATGATCAGCTCACTTCAAAAAGGATATGTATTAAGGCACATGCTTCAGTACATGACAGCTGTAAAATGTCATTTATACTGCCTTGATTAACCAACCAGAAATATTAAATAAATATATTTAAAAAAAATTTATACGTTTTAATAAAAATAATCAAATTCCAACTACCTAATCCAATCTAAGACCAAAAGGATGTTGATTCAGGAACATGCTCTTAAATCAAGTTGTATGTGTAATGTTGAATGCTTACAGAAATTTGAACCATTGAATTAATAAAACTTCAAATTCTTTGAGAGAGAGAGAAACTGGGAAAAGCACATCTGGTAGTTATTGTGGTGCTCAGCATCGCTCCAGGAAATGGGCTGGTGTGTATTTGGCATAAAGTCCAAACATTTGTGCCTGAGTGCCGTCCCAGCCCAAACAGGAAGTACTGTTTATAGCCAAAGGGAAACATGGGAAATCAGCCTTCGTGTCTCTCCTGATACAATCATGATAATTTCAGCTCATTCTACATTCTGTTAACAGCTCATCATTTCTAATCAGTTCAATGCATTTTAATGTTTCTGCTTGACTGTTTTCCCATGTTTCCCAGCGGTATTCCAGGCCAAAACCTAAACTACAGTTTATAAGAGCTACATACCAAACAAGCCATAGTTAAATAAGCATCTCTATTACGCTCTGTACTGACTACATACTCTAACTGTCACCACTTGTAAATCTATGATCATAAAACCCTTTACACACATGCATATACACACACGCTATCAGAGTTGTTGTTTCATGTGCCAGTAATGGAACGCACTGGAAGGCTCACTGATGCCTCCAGTGTTCCTGGCATTAAGATGAGTGTGTGTTTTATCAGTAATGTCTCTCTGTATGGTTCTGGTAAAGTTGTTTGGGTAGAGCTTTTGGCCTGATGACCTCAAAGTTTTTGATGTGTCTGCAGGCCAGCCCGTCAACCTGACTGACAGCTGTCGACACCTGTCTTTGTCCGCAGCGGTAAACAAACACCTGCTTATTTCATCACATAATACACATGCACATACTTGCGTGGTCTCAACTAAACTAAACAGTGTAAAGAGTTGTTTAAAAAGTCATATTGAAAATCTAAAACAATTTTAGTAAATTAAATTATTTTATGTAAAAATCTCATTTCTAGGTCTAGTTAAAACTTTTCACTAAAATTGGTATGCTGACACATATGTCAGTGTCTCAAAATGTGTATTCATTTGGAAAAATGTACAATAGAAGCATTTTCACTAATGGTCTCAGATGTTTGGACCTCACTGTATTTTGTTTGTTTTTCTTTCACCCACAATAATGTGCCATTACATACTTCATTCAGGAAATGTGGCTTTCAAAATAACTAAAATAAGGATTTTTATATTGAAGAAAGGGCTCAAAATAACATTAAACTCAATCTCAATTTGTGGTAATAAAGTTGTATAATACTACTGTATGCATCAATATAAATATCAGGATGAATATGGCATAACCAAATATCAATAGTCGGCGCTATATGTACGTGAAAGACATTTACACAGTTCGCTAGCGAGGCCTCCATCTCAGTCACCTCTCTGTGTCCAGTCAAGACCTGGAGGAGGAGGAGGGGAGGAAAGTTTTAGGACCCCAGCTGTGACCGTGAAGCAGTGCTTAAACTGAGCTGGAGACCAAATTAACCCCTGAATCACCTGACGGTGGACAGAAACAACAAACCTTTGAGTTCACGAGCCAGCAGCACACAGCAGTGCACTTTATTACACTGCTCTCTGGAATACTTCATTCTTGATTGGTCAATAGCAGCATTCTTCTGTGATCAAATATTTTTGTATAATGATCACTAAATTATGGTCCCTGGAAACCAATCAATGATGCCTCACATAATACACACAAAACACTGATAAGACACACAAGAATTAAGTCAGAGTTGGTTGGAATACTTGCATACTACGTACTATACAGTATGTACGGTGTACTGCATACTCACAAAAAAATTATGTGAAACACTCCACCCAGTATTCAACAGTAAATATTTAAAACAGTAGTATGCTTCATTGTTGTCAAATGACATCCGTCTTGGAAATAAACAATTATTTCCAGTTTCATTTAATTATGCGTTAAACAAAAAATTCAGTTCAATCAAATAAGGTGAATACAATGATAAAAGTGGATTATATTTATTTTTGACATTCCTTCCAGTTCATTCCTCACATTAGAAAAGGATGGTTATGTCAAGTGCATTGCATTTGCAGCATGCTTAGGTTGTATGCTACACATTTTGGTGAATATAGTAGTTCACAGTAGGCATTCCATGCATCCAGAAAATTTGCATACTGTGATATGTGGTGCAAAAATAGAAGTTGGTAGCATGCCAGTCTAAACATACCCAATCTGTCCTGAGCCCATACAGTTTAAAGCATGCATGCATATGTGAGCTATGTTCTCAACAGCACACTAACATCATATTTTTAGTATAGATTTTGTATGCAGCACGTATTTTGTGTATTATATGCAAATATTCTGTATGCATAATTAAACACAGATGTCCTATTACATACATCAAAAGGTGGAGTGACAATACACTGCACAGAATATTGTATCCCATATTGCAATGCACTTACTTAAGCTTCCAGACCCAGTGCGGCAAATTAAATTTAAGTAATTTCAGCCATGATTTAACACAAAATTGGATTAAAGGAATAGTTCACCCAAAAAAGAAAATCTGCTGAAAACTGACTAACCCTCAGGCCAGCCAAGATGTAGATGAGTTTGTTTTTTTCATCAGAATAGATTTGAAGAAATTCTGCATTACATCACTTGCTCACCAATGGATCCTCTGCAGCGAATGGGTGCCGTCAGAACGAAAGTTCAAACAGATGCTAAAAACATCACAATAATCCATAACTAATCAAAACGACTCCAGTCCATCAATTAACATTGTGTCAAGCATAATAAACCATTAAGACGGTTTAATTTCAAACTGTTGCTTCTGACTAAAATACGAGTCCTCAATTCATTATATTATGAATTATGGAATTTGGCCAGAAGTCACGGTTTAAAGTTAAAAAGCTTTAACAAAAATGTGTTTCTCACAAACAACACAGCTTTTCACTTCACAAGACATTAATTGATGGACTGGAGCCATGTGAATTGTTTGGACCCATTCGCTGCAGAGGATCCATTGGTGAGCAATAATGTAATGCTAAATCTCTCTGAATCTTTTTTGATGAAAAAACAAACAAACTCATCTACATCTTGAATGGCATGCGGGTAAGAACATTTTCTGGGTGAACTACTCCTGTAAAAATGCTAAATTAACATTTACTGTACTGTATGTTAGAGCTGCTAACCTGCATGCTTGCTGAATTAGGTCATGTGATAACCGTGTATAGTTTGAAGTGTTGATTATTCATACATTTTCTACATACAAGAGGACAAAAATAGGCAGCATTCAGTGTACTGTATACTATGCAGTAAGTACTACAGTAGTATTCTAAATATAACTTGGATTTACATACAAAAGGACAGGATGTCCCCCCTCACCTCTTCTGCCCTGTCTGAGTGAGACGCTGGTCTCTGCATAACGGGCCTGATCCACTCGATATCCCTGCTGCTGTAGGACTCTCTGGTACAACTGGACCTCAGTGTCCGTCGGAGCACGTTGTCCTGTCAGAATAATGGCTTTTCCAGCACATCTGTGCTTAGAATGATGAACCTGAGAGAAGGAGGAAAGATAAACTGTTTTGCAATTACAGTTTTACTTGTATTCATTCTTGATGTTACTTCCTTCAAAACTTAAAAAATGCACAATAAACCTGATTGTATGTTACAAATGCTCCATGAAGTTCAAAACTGGGTTTAAACCGTCCACTGGTTTTGTCACATGTGAGGATCACAACAGCAGGGGTTAATCAGATAGGCAGCCGAGCATTTCAAAAGTACCCATAATGCAGTCTAGCATGGTAATGGCCAGTGTGGGCCGTCAGGTAGGGTGGAGGGCTGAACCCTGTTTTCTCTGAGAACAGGATTAGATGACAGCAGACTTCAGACGCCTGGACTCATTCAGAGTTTCAGGTGATGGCTGCTGCACAGGACAATTTTAGGATACAGTTCAGTTTAGCAAAAGAGGAAAGCCTGACAACATGAGCCTTTTTAAAAGTCATATTAAACATAGCATATGATCATCCAGTTCCGTGTTGCATAACAGAATCAGAGGAACACAGCGTTATTTGGGCAGAGCTTCAGCATGGAGTGTGTGACTGAGGAAGGGAGGGGAGCGTTTCCTCTCCTTCAGCATGGATGATACTGTTCCCTTTTCTTTTCTCTCTGCATGAGTTCATCTTTTTCTGCTGTCATGCTGTGCTGTTCTCTCTCGCTCTCTCTCAGGGGTCCACTTCTCCTCTGCTTGTAAATGTTTCCATCTGGGAGCTCAGCCACTTTAATGAAAGGGTCCTAAATGGCCAAAGTCAACCCCTGCAACCCATTATTCTCTCTTTACTACTGTATAGTACATAGGTTAGGGATTTCAATAATAAAACTATAAACATATTTGACAAACTCTTATTAGAGGGTATAGTACAGTATACTCAACAACAACAATATAATGGTATTATTATTATTATTATTGCTATTATTATAATTTTTGTTATTATTATTATTATTAACAACACTGGGGTTAGTTGTACATTAGTTTTAGTTGTACATTAAGTAACATTTATTTCTAATTATATTTAAACATTATTTTTTACATATAATATTAATATTAGCAACAACAATGCATATTTAAATTTAGTTATTGTTATTATATATATAATACTTTTATTTATAATGTATATAACCCCTTTATATCATCATCATCAACAACATCATTAATAATTAAATAAAAGTCTTAGATATACATTTATACAGTAATATATTTATTTATAATTTAAAGGGGTCATATGACGTTGCTAAAAAGAACATTATGCTGTGTATTTGGTGTAATGCAATGTGTTTATGCGGTTTAAGGTTAAAAAAAACACATTATTTTCCACATAATGTACATTATTGTTGCTTCTCTATGCCCCGCCTTTCTGAAACGCGTAGATTTTTACAAAGCTCATCGTTCTGAAAAGCGAGGTGTACGCTGATTGGCCTGTACATTCACTCCCCCCACCTACAATCCCTGCCGGTACGAGACTCGAACCAACAAACCTTTGGGTTACGAGTCCGACTCTCTAACCATTAGGCCACGACTTCCCCCTAAGTTTTGGCCAAACAAAGCCGTTTCGCTTTCACAATGAAACACACAGTGGCCCTGTCCCAAATGGAACACTTCATGTGCACTTGCGATCTTAAGGACTTACAATGACCGCTGCGTGCGCGTGTCCGTTAAGTCCACGAGACCGTATCCAATCGTCATTTTAGCATTCAGAAGGGTGCTCGAGAGTGCCCCCTTTGCGGCCGTTTGCTCCCTCGATCCGCACTTCTGCCGAGCCCGCACTGAGCCAAGCTCCACAGCAGACTTCTACCCGACAGTCAAAGTGGCATTACATCACTAAAGTGCGGACTCAGAGGAAGACCGCGAGGGTTTAGGGTGCCATTTGGGACAGGGCCTGTGTCCCACACAGTGGGCTTTAGTGAGCGGAGGCCGGCGGGCTTGAGAATGGCGCGGCCGGCGGATTCGATGAAGGAGCGGCTGGCGGGTTTGCGGCAACCACATGTGACGACCCCGGGCTGGACTCCGCTTCGTCCACGGTGAAAATGATCCGGCGATCCACAGCACAAAGTTGATGTATTTCCTCAGCGACCAGCATGGATCAGCTCTAGGCATGACGAAGCAGATATCGTCCTCTTTTGGAAGGCCAAGCAAAGTAGTTTCGCTTTCACAACGAATCACACAGCATCTCCACGACAGGGCGGCGGCAACAACAATACTACAGCGAGAATAAAAGTTACGCCTTCTTTCTTTGCGTGAACATTTGGGTGGCGTTATGCAAATCTTTCCACACAGTGATGTAGACATGTGGGAGCGTGTTTAAATGAGCCATTTTAGGAGGGCGTCTTAACTTTTATAAAGAATAGCTCTTTGGGTTTGAGACTTTAGTCTTTGCAACTTCAGGGATCTTATCTATGCACAAACAGCTTGTAACACTCCAAAGAGAAAGGAAAATTTGAAATTGCATCATATGACCCCTTTAAGTATCATATTTACATATATTATTATTATATGAAAACTAATACTTAAATATATTAGAACTATACTACTATATAAAGGCATAACTAACTCTTTTGTTTCATTATTATTATTATTATTAATAATAATAATAATAATACACAGTAAATATAATCATTTTATTTCAAATTTTATTTTTTTTATAACTACAGAAATGTACAAACCTTTTATATCAACAACAGCAATAATAATAATAATAATAATAATTAATAATAATACATTAGTAGTAGCAGTAGTAGCAGTAAATATAATACTTTTATTTATTTATAATAAATATTAGAAGAATATTAGGAGATGTGTATTCAATTAAGCAATTAGATTTTCGCTTGAAAGCGAGATAAAAATTATAAAAACCTTACACTTACATTGAAGGATGGACTTAACTCATATCTAGATACTAGAATATCAGAGACGTTTAGCCATCTAACAAGTAACCATCGAACATAACCATCTATAACGCCTTGGCAACTGCATATCACACAAGCGTCATGATGGCGAGTTTTGCACAAGCTAGCACCGCTAAAATCTAGTTTATAACTGTTCTCTTTTCTTTTCACCTACTAGAATTCCAACTTCATCATCAACTCAGAATAAATAAGATGCATCTCATTTCCAGTCTTACTTAGTTTTCCACTCTTTCTTCCCTACATCCCCCAGTCTGTCTCTCCTCGCATCTGCTCCCTTTCTCCTGCCCCTCTGTGAGACCTCAGGCTGCAGACACTAATCTAAAACACGCAATTACTGTACTACATTCATTTTACCCTCCGTGTCTGCGGCCCAAGACACAAACATCATTACTTCATTAAAGCGCTGCCTAAAACAGCCCAGGGCTCAAAGGAAGTAATAACAAGAAATAAGAAACGTCTCATGAAGAAAGGGAAATAAAAAGGAAGGTGGGAGGGAGAGGGGGAAATTTTTTATATATATATAAAACCCAAAGAGCAGAGAGAGCACAATGATACATTAACTTTAATAAGATCTGAAATTAAATCAACTATACACAAAACACTAAATCCTCTCAGGGTAATCTTCCTTTAATTCCCAACACATAAAAATAGGAGATGAATATACACATAAATATTAATTTAGTCCTCTGGTGAAGGGATCTGTGGAAATGCAGTCAAATCACAGCTGAAAATGCTCTTTCATGAAAAAGCATCCTCTTTTGTTGCTAACTTGTAAATGATGAACAAGCAAAGGTCATTTTAAACTGTGGGAACCAGACATAAAAATCCAACCAAGTCTTGAATGCAAATGAGAGACATAGTAGATGGTGTTTGGCATGTGCAACTAAACTCCAAAAGTGTTTGGACTAAAAATAATGTTATCATCTTAAAAATAAAAGCCATCCTCCTAACACCATCCCCAAAGGGTCATGACTTTTATGGCACACATGGTGCAGAAAAAAACACAAAGACATAGGCTATGTGCACATGCATGCAATACTGACAAGAGAAAAAAATTACATTCTCTCTCACACACAAACACACATATACAAATGGGTCACAAGTGTTGTGTATAATACAAAGAAACAAATCTAAGCATAACAACATATGTACTCAGATTCAAACAACTCAATCCTCACATGCCCTCTGACCCAGTAAACACACAGACCACCCTGAACAGATAAAGAACAGACCACCCTGACTGATATGCAGAAATCCTACACACAACCTTACCAGAAAGTAATGTGGTGGTACTGGTGATTGTATCAGATGGTATTTCCATGGTTAATGTTTGGTTGTGAAGGCTACCAAAACATTCAGTGCACTAGTCAGGCTAGTGTAAAATATCCAGAAGTTTTTGTGTGCTCAGGATAGCACTTAGGAGTTAGTGCCCATGCCAAAATACCATTATCATCTCATAAACTCTACTCTTGTTTTCTTACGTCAGCAATGTGGAAAGACAAGCCAAACAAAATTAACATCATTATTAAAGTCACCCTCTGCGCTCAGATGCACCAGAGCAATGGCAAAATTAACTATAAAATTAACACAGACAAGTTTTTCTAACAATCAAGTGCAGAATGTAAAGACTTACATCAGAATAGAAAGTATCTGTGAATTCAGAACAATTATGCCTTTAAAATCTGACTGAATGAGTCACATTTAGAGCAGCTGTACTCTTCAATATGACTTTTTTATATATTATATGTGATTCTGTAAAAATGAGCAAACTTGCTATGCATCCAGTTAAACTATATTACTACTACTACCACTACTACTACTACTACTAAAAATAAATATACATGAATACATTTACAAAATGTAAACATATCTATTAAAAATATAAATGTAAATACATTTAATAATGTCTTCTGACTTAAGAATGTCCTATGTGTCAATTTATATACACACACATCTTTATTACATTAATACTACTAATCTAATACTAATAATATATATGAATAAATTTACAAAATGTATACATTTATTTAACTAAAATACATTTAATGCATTGTAATATATATATATATACTTGAGATGCACCTGTACATACATACATATATATATATATATATATGCCTTCAAAGCATTGTAAGCCGCACACTTGTGATTACACCCTATAATCCAGATTCAATGTTTGAACCCAGTGTGAAGCACAGCTGGGTCAGGTTAACATGTCCTAGCCTTCAAGAGAGCGCTTGACATGTGGAAAGAAGGGAGAAAACAAAATGTGGATTCTGTTAGTATTCAGAGGAGACCTCGAACTCTGCTTGTCCATGCAAAATGAATGGTTTACTTGGCTAAACGTTTGGCATTGGCTCAACATTTTATTCAAGCTTTCCCCCCACAAACTACTTTTCTCTGTTTTTCTGCGCTTTCCTCGCTCTTCCTCCCCCTCCACAAATACCTCTCTTTCTCTCTGTGCCACTCTGGATGAGGGGTTCTTTTACCACTGGCTCCGTGTATAAGGTTCAGAGGTTAATCATGGCTGTCGAGAGGACCCTATATATAAAAATAGCCTAACCCTTTTTCCTCTCTCCTACAGACGTATTCAACACAAACCACATCAAACACATAACATACCAAACCTGCCTCTATGCCACATCTACCCTCTAAAACAATGCAACACATGGTGTAGAAAAGTTGTGCACGCTACTTGCTGACCTCCTGTACTTGTCCTCTCCCCACACAGTCAAAACAGCAGACAATAAACTCTCAGCATACTTGAACATGAGTCTCTTTGGGGAGCGTTCAGCCCAACAGTGATGGAGTGCAAACCACAGGCCTAATATAGATTATAACATGTATAGCATGTGCCAGACTGTAGGTTACACTGTCTCCTGACAGCAATGTCACAGCAGAGGTCTGACTTTAAGCCTTTACTGCATACATGAATAACACATTCCTAAATAATTATATTAATAATAATCATTTAAATACATTAATGCTGTAATATTATGAGTACTAATTATAAATATTGTTCAGTATTATAAATAGCTATATTTTAATTATGCTTTAAATTTAAAATACATGGATAATGCATTAATAAATAATTACATTTAAATACATCAATTTTGTAATATTCTGAGTATTAAATATTATAAATATTTTTCAGTATTATATATAACTATATTTAATTATGCACTTAATTAAAAATGAACAAATAATTAAATGTAATTACATTATCACTGTAATATTATTAGAGTACACTGTAAGATAATAGAGACACTGTAAGATAATAGAGCATTAAATATAAATATTGTTCAGTATTATAACTACATTTTCCTTTGTTCAATTTAAAATTAAATACATTAATAAATAATTACATTTAAATACATTAATGCTTTAATAATAGCATGAGTATTAAATATTATAAATATTGTTCAGTATTATATACCTATAATTGTGCATTAAATGTTAAATTAATAAATGATTAAATTTAAATATATTAATGCTGTAATATTCTGAGTATTAAACATTCTAAATATTGTTCAGTATTATACATAACTATATTTTAATTATGCATTAAATTAAATGCATTAATAACACACTAATAAAAAATTAAAATGCATTAATGCTGTAATATTATTAATACTAAATATAAACATTTTTCAGTATTATAAATAACTATATTTTAAATATTTTATTTTATATTTTCCAATATTCTGAAAATACTGTTTTGTATTATTCACTGAGCTTCTCAACAATCTTTAGGTTCCTAAATATAGTTTGGGTTCCAAAATTCATGGGACATTTTGCTCATTTTGTCATTTGCAAGGTGATCATCATAAGCCTGCTTGCTTTGAAAATAGTGTCAAACATTAATGCTTACGTAAATACCTATGAAAAATAGTAAGTGTAAATAATAATTAATAATAACAATAATAATTATAATAATAATTTTTTTAAAAATCAAGAATAAAAATCAATCTATATTTAATATATGTATGTCTATATATAAAAAAATTATAAAAAAAATATGTATTTATATATGTATTTCTAAAAAAAAAATAGCGTAGACTCTGTGAGATAAGTATGTGACTACGACTTTCCTACTGGCTGTTAAAGTGTGATGTCTAAACACATAGTGAGGTTCATATTAGACTGACACATGGCAGCAGTCAAATAAGTTATTCACATTCACCGTGTGTGTGTGTGTGTAAACACTAGAAGTTCATCAGCTGAAAGTGAATGCAATTGTCTGATCCTGGATCAGAACCAGGCGGTCCAAAAGCACAGACAGACGTGACTTTGTTAACATGAATGAACGTCCTCCAATGGTCTCCAGGGACAACGAGACAGCAATGGCTTGCGGGATGGGAAAACTTTTTCACAAATTTCATAGTACGCACAGCAATCATGGGAATAGGCATCTTCTTCAAATGAACGTTATGAATATATGTTAATGTGAAATGACATTATGCTAATTCACACAACAAACATTGTGTTGTTGCTGAGAGGCTGAAAACACCAAACAAATGCCCTGAATCCTTAACTCGTCAATAAAAACTCCCACACACTCACAATCATGATGCCCACAAATGCAACAGATCATTCTTCACTTCCTGCCCAACTCTGTTACCTACGTTTTTATGACTTTTTATATGGCAGCACGAGACACAGTCTGCTCTCCAGACACATCAGAGAGCCACTGATGGTCGGACAGACTGATGACTCTATCCTACTCAACACACACACACACTCAAGTAAGTTTCACTAACAGCTGATTGAGGACAGCTGTCATGGCTCTCAGTGTTGACTTCCTGCTAGGAGTTAGTTAGTGCGGGATTATGGGAATGCATACTGCCACAGTCCCAGCTTAAAACTAAACCTCTCTCACCTCTCATTGCTTTCCTGCCCTCATCTTCTGACCCTAAATCTGTTTTCCAATTTCTCTCTCTCTCTCACTTTTTTTCCATGATTTGCACACATGCTCCACCTCCTCGTACAGAAGTCATAAATAAACAGATGCCTGGGCATCCTACATGACAGCCGTTCTTTATTCCCAGCATCTCTCCTCAGATCTTTCTATCCCGTACTGACATAACACTTCCCCACAGACATCAATCATCCCAGCGCTCGAAAGAAAGCATGCATTTGTGCACTCATAAATAAGCCCTCCTTCATGTGCTCTCTTAAACCAATGAATGTCCAGCCTTGAGTTTCTCCTCCTAATATACCCCCAACAAAGACACCCATCATAAATAAACAATAGCTGCTCACTGGCTATATTTTTAAAGGGGAAGATAAATATCCCAACACAACAGCAAGTTGTAAGTGATGAGAACTTAAGAATAAAGTTTTTTGATTTTGATTTGTTGCACAGCTGATGTCCAGCAAAACATCCATTGTTTTGAAATCTATAGCACTACCTGGAAATAAAATGTCAAGGTTATTTTTCATAGATAACAAACCATGAACAAGGTAATGTAAAATAACTTTTAATGACAATAAAAAAATGAATTACATTTAAATATTAATATTGTAATATTATGTGCACTAAATATTTTCTGTATTATTAATAAATGGTTTAATTATGCATTACATGTCAAATTAAATACATGAATAATACATAAATAAATTAATGCTGTAATGAGTTTTAAATATTTTTCAGTATTATAAATAGCTCTTTTAATTAGACATTAAATTTAAAATGAAATACATGAATAATACATGAATAAAATGCTAATTAATGCTGTAACATTATGAGTATTAAATATTCACATTTTGTCAGCATTATAAATATATTAATTATGCATTCGATTTCAAATTAAATACAAGAATAATACATTAATAATAACTAAAGTAAAATAAAGCAATGCTGAGTATTACACAATAAAAATATTTTTCAGTATTACAAATAGCTATTTTATACATATATTACATTTTAAATTAAATACAGGAATAATTCATGAATTAAACAAGATAATGAGTAGGCCAACTAGCCTATATATAATACTTTTGGATTTTTATAATAACTACATATTTTAAATATTTTATTTATACTTAAATAATAATACTAAGAAGAAGAAGAAGAAGAAGAATAGGCAATGATGAAATAATAAACTATAAACAGCTTTCAAACATACAGACAGTACTTACAAAACGATCTGTCTGTGATGCTTCTAGTAGAGATGTGAGTCTCTCTGGGTTCTTGAGGAGTAGTTTATAATCAAACACCGCAGATTTGTTCCTTTGGTCCCGCTGACTGGACTTGAGCTCAGTTCTGTCCCGGTCCACAGTCACAGTGTGGTAAAACAGCCCGACCGCTATCCCCAGCAGCAGAAGGGGACCTGTGCAGCACCTCCGGCGGAGCGTCCAGATCCCACGGAAAAGCATTCCCACTTCTGCACAAACGTTCCTGGCTAGAGTCAAGACACATAGGCTACTGGGAATGTGCGTTTGGTCCCCACATCATCCCTCCGGATCACGGCGCTCAAACGCGCAGTTCAGGAATCCGACGCGCTGCGTTAAAGCGCGCGTATCTGAGAAACGCTTCATGACATGATCGTGGAAAAGCTCATTCGACGTGCGTCAGAGCGGGTTGTGAAGACTCGTTTCGACGGTCCGGGTATCAAAACGGAGTGAAAAGTTTCTCTGAAGGCTTCTTTCTTCTTCTCAAAGCTGCTGAGCCCCACGGTTGATTAAAAACACTCCCGAGCAGAGGAACCTCATGACTGAGAGTAATGATACGCCTTCTTCTTGTCTCCCTTTACCAAACCGCTGCGAATGTTGTGGGTTCGGCGAGGCTTCTCAAACATATTAAACTTAAAGGCCTTTTCACACAGGACGTGTTTAGCGGTCATTTACAGTCCGGTCAATCTAGACGAGCGAGTGACTGACAGCTACGGCCGTTGCGTCGCGTCGCGTCTCAATGTTTTCATTCGGTCTCTCGCGCGCATACGCGTTGTGTTTTTTAACAACCTTCAACTTTTACAAAACGCGCTTCCAGACCCATGTGTGCTGCTCCTTTTCATTGCTATTTAAATGGAAGTAACTGTAGTAGATAGCCTACTGTTAAAGTTAAAGCTAGAAAAAAAGAGGATGTTTAGGTCTGTTCTTTTGATTTTTAAGTGCGCACCTGGTTTGCGTTAATCCATTTAATCCCAACAATTTGCCTGCACATGCATTTTACTCCTTGGAAAGCCCAGTGAAACAAAATATAACTCATATTCTAATAAAGTTAAAAAGAGGGGGATGTATATATACATATACAATATTAATTTTAATATATATTATTAATTTTAATTAAAGAAACAACACTTTTAAATCTATTTATTATATATTTTCAAAATAAACAGTTGTGACCACTATCACGTATTGTGTGGTCATGATTTATGAGACATAATTATTGGACCCTAAAATATGATATAATATTTACAGTGGTTGTATCATGTATTTTTGACATTCTATGGAGCTTCGACATTTTCTTTTGAAATTATTACCTGGATTTAAACAGCTCATTTACACCAGCTATGTAAAATGTTCACAAGAAATCAAGAAGGTCTGAACTTTCAATTTAAAGTTTACAGCATCTATAGTTCAAAACATTTTTTAGCCCTTTAAACTCAAAGCAAATTTTGGTTGCAAATGGAGTTTTATGGTTTGGGATAAAATTAGTTAATATGAAGAGAATGGCATCTTAAATTATCCCATTTGCTTGAGTGGGACAATTCAGGAATGGATTCAACAGGGATTTATACAAAAACACATTTTGCTTGTTTCATGAATATAGCTCAATGCGTCTCCCCAGTTCTCATATCCTTCCCACGCTCCTACTAAAATCAGAGGGCCCTGAATGGTTGATATTAATCTTGTCCCTATACTTGGAAAAAGAAACTGTAAAATGCATTCAATCTATTACAATGCACTTTAAGACAGCATGTACCAAAATTTCTTGATCATTTTATTGTCCCCCCCATCTCGCAAAACTTATCACTACATCAGTGCAGTATATGCTAGACACACAAACATACACACAGGTCACAGTTCTTCATTTGTTCTATTGTACACCTTAAGAGCTCCTCGGTAAAATAAGAAACATTCTGTCCTTTAAGCGGAGCACAATACATCATTTATCCATTACACACAAATAATCCCACAGAATCATAATTTTCACTGGCGAGCAACGAGGCGTCACTGTTGCCGTTGTAATCCGTTCTTATCAGTATCCTTTAAGATTTGTCAGAGTTGAATGTCCTGAGACTTGTAGTCCATAAAGCAGTTCAGGACTACAACTCCCAGTCTGCATCATGCCAATCCATACTATGCCGATATGGATTAGCAGGAGCTGCCAGATGCGAAGTGTCATCACGCATGGCAAGCTGAGGAATGTCTTGAATGTTAAAAAACATGGGCCTCTCAATACCATCTTGCCCATCTGCCTCCATAAAGATGAATGGAGATGAAGAGTTTTGAGGGCAGTGTGCGCTTCGATTCACCAGCTAAAAACACCCAACCTGGTTGTGATTTACACAAACACACACACACAGCAGCCACACCAACATCTCTCTCTCTCTCGCATCTACACACCCTGATCGCATGGTGATGTAACATGTACACTCTCAGTCGAGGGGGACAGTCATTTCAGAGAGGTTGGCCTGGGGATTTGGCATTTATTTGTGCCGGCTTCCCCTCCTCTTCATGGCCGCCGTACACTGTGGGCAGTACCACTTCCCTTTGGGTGCCTCGGTCAAACCTACGCAGCCGTAGTGGAACCACTCGATCGGACACTGCAAGAATATTTGGAAAGACTCAGGATCAAATGAATCACTTTTACTGACTACAATCAAAACATCATAAAAATGCTAAGGAATTCTCAGAATGATAAAATATATATATATATATTATTTTTCCCCCCCAATTCTGTACACATTATAAAATGTTATATTATAGAATTGTGACATATTTAGTTTGTATATTAATTGTATATTTTATTAATTCATTAATACATCTAAAAAATATATTTATATTTTTATAGCAATTAATTTTTTATTTATATACAATAATTATATTTATTCTAATAAAATAATAACATATAATAAAATTCAATAATTAATATAATACAATTCATATTATATTAACAATAATACTCATAACTGCTTGCTGTCATCTCTGCAAAATAGTGACTGCCCAAGGATCATAAGAGCTGACAGAGTGAGCTAGTGGGAGTTGTTTGAAGAGGAAATGTGGCTGTGTGTCTCTGGAGATGAAGGGTTAGACTTACATCTTGGTTATCGCAGCCGACCATCTCTCCGTATGACACCTGCACAATGACAGAAAGAGAATGAGACACAGAGCACACAAGACAAACACTCACATACGCACCTGCAGCTGAGTGTCACAGATGCGCACACCTGCGAACAAAGACTGCAAGTTTTGTCTTTGATGTCTATTCAGAGACACACACACACACATTTCTAATTTTGATACTTTGACAAAAGCAATATTACTTTGAGGCCATAAAACAAATGCATTCATGGGGAGACAATTCTTTTGCACTCAAACAAACTAAAACACACACACTCTCACAGAATCCTTCTGCAAACCGTTACTGGAGTCACACACACACACCGCACCTCCTAAACAGGTCTTTGATTTTCCTGTATGATCTTGCTCTATTGGGGATGGTTAAGAATAGCTCAAGAGATAGAAGTTTTTCCTTTTCAAGGAAATACATACACATACACAAATATATACACACATACACACTATTTTATTTTAGAATTTTACAAATAGAACTAACTAATCTGCCTAACCAACATGAGCTTAACAGCTTTAATGTGTGGATCTTTACTGCCACACCATAGCTTTGTAATCTGCATACAGTGATCCCAATTAAATAGTGTTAGTGAATCAATGTAATAGTAAATCAATTCAATATCAGAATCACAGTAAAAGCACTAGGAATAGTAGTGGCACTCTGTATGAAAGAGATGTGACGTGAACACACCTGGTTGCAGATGCAGTATCTGGGTTCGTTTGGGTCGTAGGTCCAGTCCACCTGACTGCTGGTGTCAGTTTCTGTGATGGTGGTCTGTACCAGTTCATGAGCCAATGCTGACGATGACGAGCAGGATGACAGTGAAGAGGAAGAGGAGGATGAAGAGGATTGGTGGTTGGAAGACTTAGTGTTGCCTCTGAAAAGCCGAGCAAGAAAGTGCATGAATTTAACATAAAATGTGCCAGAGCAAGAGCAAAAACACCACAAATATGTATCTGGGTGCCTCATTCAGGAACCGAATAAATGGATATGGCAACAGTGCGAGTCTTACTTGATCTTGCGTCCTGTGCGAGAGTCCGAGCTGTTGTTGGACGTGAGGGGCTGTGTGAGTGTGTTAGCCAGTGCAGATGACGAGTAACTGCTGGTGTCCCGGCTCAGAGCAAACTCCCGCCCCAAGAAATCATTGTTCTTCACAGCTTCATAACTGGCCTTGAGACTGGATGTTCTCCTGCCCTCTTTCATCTAAAGAACACAAACACACAAATATTAAAGAGGATGAAGAAACAAGGTCAAGTTCCTGTTTTATATATATATATATATATATAAAACATAATCTGACACAAAAATAACCAAAAAGGCCAAAAATAGTTGAAACAGGAAGTGAAGGGAGGAGGGGGTACAAATAGATCTAAAATTAGAGGGGAAGAGGGGGGATGGCGGTTTCACCTGTGCGGTGGCTTGCACTGCCTGAGCTGCTGCCATGGAAATGGCCCCCGCCCCTACAGTAGGCCCGGCAGGAAGTGGGCTCAAGTTGAATGAGGAAAGCGTCTGGGAGGAGTTTACGTTATACACGCTGTTAGAAGAGGATGTGCTGTTCACTCTGCAGCCTGCAACACACACACACACACACACACACAAAATCACATTTCATCTATGACCAGAAACACTTGTGAGGAACAGTCCAACATGAGTGATAACTAATCTCATTACATCATTACACTCATTTCTTCTGAACCATTCAGCAAATACCACATACGGCAAACGTATGTGTGGCAGGATTATGACAAATCATAATTGTTGTTTATTTCCCTTGACCCTGTGATTAGATTAGGGCTGCAGTTATACAGAATATTTGCAATGATTTTGCTGGAAATATAAAATTACTGTAATTCAAATGCACTTTTTATTTAGCCATAATGTTCCCTAAAGAATGTGTTAGATTAGTTTAACAATGCTCTTTCACAAAGTGCAAGTATGAGAGTGTTTACATGAAAACAGAGGATGTAAGTACACTTTATTGTAGTTTTATTGGTAAACAATTAAAAAGATATTAATAAAAAATAAGATATCAATATTCATCAGAAATATTCCTTCCTTCCTGTGTTCATTTAATGTAAAAAAAAAGAAAAAAAAAAGATCACCTTTATTACTTTTTAAAATGTAGTTCTTACATAAATCATTTTGAATTGGCACTTGTCAACAACGGCTATTTGATGATTCCTCTGACAGGGAAAAATAATTAAAATAAAATAAATAAATAATTCACCTATTTAAGACATTTTAACTGCAAATACACTTTCATTCAAAAGTTTGGGTTCAATAAGGATTCAATAATTAAAAAAAAAAAAATTCACACTTTCGCTGAGCAAGGATGCATGACATTGATTAAAAGTGACAAAGACATTCATAATGTTACAAAATATTTCTATTTTTATAGAATGCAGAAAAAATGCATTACAGTTAATATAAAAAAATTATGTTGAAAAACCAAATCAGCAAAGATTTCTGAAGGATCATGTGACACTTGACATGTTCTTGGGCATGAGATTAGGGGCGAAACCTGTCAAGAACGACTGTCCTTCTAATAATTATACTATAAACATGGCTAAATTTGTAGTTCAAATTACTAACTAAATTGAGTTACTAAGCAGATCAAATACTTACGGTTTACACTCCATGCTAAATCTATAACGGTCAACAAATTAATGCAATATCAGTGTGATTATGAAGAGCCTATTCATATCAGCTGGCAGTGTCAACAGAGCCCGTGGACGGTAAAAACAAATGAATATATGAATAAATAATCCCGAGTTTTTCCTTAGCCGAGTTACACTCATGTTGCTCAACTTCCACATGGACTTATGAAGTGCATAACACATGCATGCTCCTTATGCATGCAAAGCCACCTAACAAATCCCCGCTAATATGAAAGGCTTTCTGCATTAGTCAAGGTCAGGTGTGATGCTTTACGGCAGAAGAGTGAGTTTAAAGTTTAAACTGGATTCGTACTCTGCACTTGCAGGTCCATCTCTCTCATTTCCGTAAACCTGTCGCGGAGATCCATGGGTAGCTGCTCGATCACTGCCGGGGAGAAGAACAGAGGCGTGTTACAGGCTAACGGCTGCGACGCAGTCACACATACAAACAGCCCTCTCAGACGCCTAAGCCCTCTAATATAAACATGAGCCATTACAATTGCTCCAATACTCACTCTCGAGGTAGTCCTCAAGGTACAACATTCTGGCGGAGAGAGCGTTTCAGGCGTTTTTGAGAAAGGGTGTTTTTCGTCAATATGGCGTCGCAGGCAGCGGAGAACTGAGAAGGGGAGGGAAAAAAACACAAGATGATAGGGGAGGGGCTTACGTGAAGGGCGTGGGATTTGATTGGACGATGATGGAGTTGCGCGGAAGTTGACTTTTCCTTGAATGGGTTGCGTGGGATTTGTAGTTCTTTAATTGCGCAACTCCATAACTACGTTCACCGTTGCAAATTGTGAAATGTACGTATTTGAATTTGGATTGTCGCGCAATATATGGGTAATATGCAGATGTACAGTAACACAAATGTGGGTTTTCTCTAGCAGTGGGTGTCTATGCTTGTTTCTAACACATAGTTCAAAACAATGTTTTTGTGAATTCTGTCCTCTAATTTAAAATTTTTATTTAAAAACAATACATAATGCTATGATTATATAACAATATATAATGCATAATGAAATGAGAACGTCAAATAATATAAAACTATTTTATAACTATATTTTTTCTATATATAAGGCTATTAGTTTTTTTCTCTCTTGCTCAGTGTAATTTAAAGCTTTGCAAAGTTTCCATTTTACAGTAGTAGTGTTTTGAACAAATAATAAGAAAGAAAGAAAAAATGTCATAAACACTTGACTTGGTAGTTCTGTATAGTCTTGCATTAGACTGGTTTCATTGGCCTTTGGAGGGCAGCACTGACTGCAATACGGGATGACAGTTCAGACGTTTGCAGATACAATTTGGTGCTGTCTGTGTGTAAGAGGCATTTGATACCGTTAGAAATTTGCCAGTGGAAGACAATGTAACTACCTGGCTGTCTCTTGAGAAGAAAAAAACCTCAGCTTGACCCCACGTTCATTGTAGACAGTTATGACTTGGAGCAGTCGTGGTGGAAGAGGATTTTATAAAACATCCCATTAAAACCTTTTATTTCCAAGACAAAATTACCACACAGCTGTAGACAAGAAGTGTTCCACAAAGTGACATTTCACCTCAGCTCTCAATTTAGATCAAATAAAAATATGCTCGAGCTCAGGAAATGTGGCTCCTCTGATGACTGTTCCATCTGCATTTGTGGCAGATTGAAAGCTATTTCTAGTAATCTTTTTATATTTCTTCTCATCTGAGTTTCCTGGTGCTATATTTGCACACTAGAATATCAAAGAATATCAGTCAGTCAGCAGTTTAGATGCTCCAAATAAAACAATGCAGACTGTATTGGTTTTGCATACTGTGTCTATCCTTGTGAACTGTAAATTAAAGTATACTTTTGCAAGTCTTTAAGTGTTTAACAATTAATATATTTAAAACAACTATTGCGAAAATGAAATATTTAAACCCTGAGTGTTAGAATAGGCCACTTTGTAGGAGAACTAAATGAATAAGTAATATGCAAGTAAGCAAGTCTATGGGCAAGTCTTTTCTTTACCCAAAACTATCACATGACTAGATGATTATTATTAACTAATTAATGCAACTTATTAATAAACTGTTGTAGTTATCACTGCTTTTGTAAATGAATATTTACATTTGTAACATAGACACTCTAATATAAATTAGTACCAGGACAGCTGCAGCATATCAACACACATTCCCAGATAATAGCAGATTGTGACAGTCTTTCTCAAGACAATAATATGCCTGACCTCTTCACCCCGGCATATGATATCTTGGGGGTGGGGATCTGGATACATGCCAAGCACTGCTGATGCATGTGTTTGGGAAGTAAATACTGACCATGGAAACATATATATTTTATTAATGAGACCCCTGAAAACTTCATTCACAATGTTTCCTCTTTATAGAATTACTCTCTGATAAAAAAACAAAACAAAAAAATATTTCTTTATTAGAAATGACATAATTGTGGGATTATTTGAATGATCTGGTTTATTGTTAACCATTTTATTTATAAGCGTAACAGTATACAGTTGTAGTGAATTTTACATACACTTTGCAGTTTCTAAAAAATGTTAATTCTTTTACCAAAATAAGAGGGATTATACATAATGCATCTTATTTTTTTATTTAGTACTGACCTGAATAAGATATTTAAGACGTTTACATATAGTCCACAAGAAAAAATAATAGAAATAAAAATGACAAATGCCTGATTCTTAATACTGTGTTGTTACCTGGATTATCCACAGCTGTTTTTTTGTTGTTGTTTTTTTTTTGTGATAGTTCATGAGTCCCTTGTTTGTCCTTAACAGTTAAACTGCCCGCTGTTCTTCAGAAAAATCCTTCAGGTCCCACACATTCTTTGGTTTTCCAGCATCTTTTGCGTATTTGAACCCTTTTCAACAATGACTGTATGATTTTGAGATCCATCTTTCCGCACTGAGGACAACTAAGGGACTCATACGCTACTATTACAAAAGTTTGAAACGCTCACTGATACTCCAGAAAGAAAAACGATGCATTAAGAGCCAGGGATATAAACTTTTGAACAGAATGAAGATGTTAACATTTTTCTTATTTTGCCTATATATATATATTAGGGGTTGCACCGACTAATCGACTTCAATGCTCTGCCATGACGCTTTAAGCTTGACGTCGACTAGTCGCTGGTTCTATAGAGGGCGCAACAGGATAAGAAATCTTTGAAGGACTTTCACATTTACGTTTCGTTTCCAAACAGTTAAAATGACAAATAAATGCATACTCTGAAAGCACTCCACAAGACATGTCTGATTATATTACTGGATGCTCGAAATTGAACAGGAGAATGCACATTTTAAACAGCTTATTGTACAGCTAAGTTAATCGCCATTCTAATCTAATGCGCTGCTGCACTGCAATGCACACACATAGGCTACAGACAGTAGCTCCTACATCACACACACATCGCACGCGCACAGAATCATTCAGCTCGGAAATGTATTGTCAACACTGTTCTGTGATTTCGCAATTAAAATAGCTTAGAAACTGAAAAGTTCAAGCATATATTTCTTAATAACTAAAT